TCTTCTGAAAAAGAGGACAAAAGAGAATCAATGCCCACATCTGCTATTAAAAGTTCTTTTGAAGAAGTGGGAGGATGTCAGAACAATGGTCTTAGAATGTCATCCAAACCAGGTTGAGGTTAACAGGCTTGGGGATCTTCCGAAAAATCTCGAAGAGAGGAAAGCAATTGACATTGGACAGATTCTTTAATGTCCTGCAAACAGAAAAACAACGTGACTGATAAAAATGCAAGACTGTGTAACAAGTATATGTTTTATTATTATTACATATAAATAAACATAGCAAGAAAGTATATAATTTTTTATTTATTTTTTGGGGTGTCCAGAATGAATTAATCAAATTCCCATAAAAAGCCATGGTAAGTCAATAATCGGTTAACGAACAATTTGGATAGTGAACACAATCTTGGAAACGATTATGCTCCTTAACCAATCACCCACAGTAGTAGGAATGATCTAACCTGAAACATATTGATTTTACAAAATTGATGTTATCTCTCTATATATACACTCTAAGCTTAAATATATCAACCTTGTCAGCAGTTCTCTTCCCATCTACCACCTTCCATTCCAATAATAAAAACAAAAAGCTAATATTTGCACAATCTCATATTCCATGCAACCTTTCTTCCATACTTATAGAGATTTGATGTTTTAGTGTTTGATCTGTTTAAGTGTAAAACCTTATGCAGATCCATAAAAAGTGCTGAAACCATTCATTTTAATAAAGAATTTGGTAATTTGGTGCTGGAAAGTGTGTGAAAAGTGTCATTTAATCTCCTACCGCACACTTAGGCTTGTTACTTTCTGAATAGTTTGTGCTTATAAAAAAACATGGTGTCACACTTACCATCAAATTTCAGCTGTTGTTCCATATAATTCTATGTAACAATATATTTTCTTACCCTTTTGGAGAAATTTAGGTTTACAATGCTCTTTTACATAGGCGTCATAACTAGAAAGTTATCACACTGTTCATTTAGAACACCAGGGACAATTTTAAAAATAACACACCTTCTACTGATCTTGCAAAGAATGTATATTAGAAAATAATTTTACATCATTATGGCTCAAACTTCCATTTTTAAGTATTGTTTGGATTACAGAACCCTGTTCATATATCAGGAGTTGTTATATATATCTTTGTTAAAACCATGTAAGTCTCCCACTCTTGGACTCCTTGATTATAGGTGTAACACTTTACAAAAACTTTAATCTTCATAATCTAGATTTTAGTTTTGTTTGAGCATTATTTTGTTTTTATGTTATTTTACTTATTCCTATACTGTGTTTTAATTTAGTTATTTATTTTTGTATTTTGTTTAACCAGGTTTTATATATGTTGTGGATATCCTCCATTTGTTTTAAATTTAAATCAAATTTTTATTGCACACATTCAAATTCAGCAGTTACAGTTAGAATGTGTTCTTAAATTCAAAGTAAAGATGTCTTAAAAATCAGTATTAGAAATTGCTCCAAATATTTCAAACTTGTAGGCTCCAAAATGTGATGATTGAAATATTTAGAGGCTTTGGAAATATACAGGATGTTTAAGGTAGAGAGTACCATCAATTAAAAGTTTAAGGTGTTCTCAACTAACTCTCTTTCTATGACATGGCAAGCATACATTGAGCTTTCCTAAGACCTCTAACCTGACCAGTGTTTAATTCTGACATAATGGTATTTCATACACCTTGACCACAGAATATGGGGTAAAATTTCATTGTCAATTAAAAAGTTTAGTTTCATAAATAATATGATGCGACTAAGCGTGTCAATATTTAAATTTTAATTGTATTCCATCTATTTGCATTTTGATTGCAGTGCCCATGGGGAAGAAAGAGTAAAAGGAAAAATAAATAAATAAATAAAATTGTTATTAGAAAAAGACCTTTCAGAAAGATGGCAGTCAGAGTATAGTTTTAAATACAATAAAACCTGTGTGAACTGTATTGGCATGGTAACAAATTTTTTCAATTTTGGCAGGTTTTAGATTTTTTTTTTTTTGGTCTAAACTATACCAGATAAATATCACACAGTTAAGTTCATTTTTATAGTAAAAGTTACTTTTATTACTAGCTTTAATTGGAATTAAAATCAAATAGTTATCAATTCTTGCATCTGAGCACTTCCGTGTTACTTGAATTACAAGCATCCAAATTAATCCAATGTAATTATATCTAAATATGGAAGTAGTTGAATGCAAAAAAAATTGAAAATTATTTGATTCTAAAAGATTCTTGTTGTTTCTGAGAACTTGTTCTAGGTATTTGAATATGTGGAGTTCTCAGATACAATCCTTATGAGCTCTCCACAGCAAATACAATGGCAACAAACCAATTTGAGAACGAAAACTTGTGTGTTGCTCTGCTGTTGGAAGTTCTAATTGCATTACAATAATAGAGAGATAAATAATTCTGTGATCTGGCTTCAAAGAATTTTAATAATCTAATTAATCATTAACTTCAATCTTTGTAATTACCAATGTTACTAACTTGTACCGAGAATTTGAAAGAAGCCAATGCTAATAATATTGCATTAATGTATCAATGCAACCCAACAATCATCAAAATTCTAAGGAATGATAAAAACTGTATAAATGCAATTTGACATTGGGGATTCACTGAAGCTGATAAATGACCAATGGTTCAAATCAAAACTAGTCTATGTGGGTGCCACTGGACATAATTTACAACAATGGCTCAAAGAATATAGGTACACAATTGAAAAAAAATATCAACAACATGACACTGGCAGCTTACTCGCAACATCAGGACATACAAGTAAACTGAGAGCAAGCAAGCATCATTAGAGCCACATCTAACATACTACAGGATATCTAGAGAAATTGGAAATTTATAAGACTCAAAAAATCAAGTATATCAACCATAGGGATGTGGACAATCTATGTAATGCATAGCAGTCTGTTTACAAAATTTAATTATTTCATCATTTTATTAATGGACATTTATTCATTTATTTTTATTAATTTTGCATATATTAGTTGTCATTTATTCATATATTTTATCTTAAGATAACGTCCATCATTGATGTGCCATCCATGGAAGCTGTGTAAGTGCTGCTTCCCTTGTATTTTCTAAAATATAAATACATATTGTGAGATTATTTTCATATTTTAACATACTTTGAATTACTTAAAATTAATATTTTATTATAATTGCATTATGTATTTTATTACAAATTTCTATTGTATATTCGAATATAAATTCGTACATGCATATTTCCAATGGAAGTGCCATATTGTCAAATATAGGACAGCTTCCACAGTGAAAATAACTGAATCACAGTCAGATTTTAGGCATTCGTGCATGCACTTTAGAGAGCACCAACCTCTGGTGGTTTAGATGATGGATGCTACACACCAAAATATCATATAATGATTCCAATGATTCAGTGATTACCCATTGGTAGGGAGCTATTTGACTAAGTGGATTGTTTTAAGATTTAAGAAGCAAAGATTTTATTTTTATGTATGTTTCTTTACAAAGCTATATTTAATTGTAATTTTCTTTTAATTATATTGACAGATTTTCAGACAGAAAATCTTTAGAATTTTTATCACTTTTAGATGTTGATAATTTTAAATATTATGAAAAACAATTTTTCAAAGTGAGTTTTAATTCTTTTAAGTAAATTTTATGGAGAAGTTTGATTTATCTAAAGTATGTAGTGAATTGCAATATTTATATTCACGTCCAGACTATATTGGCAAGTCACTCTTAAACATAAAAAAAATTCTAATTATGATCATTAATGATGATCTGAACAAAGATGTATTAAAAGAATTATACAATTTAATATCATTAATTTTTATGGTACCATCTACTAGTGCGTCTGCTGAGTGCAGTTTTTCAACCACGAAGCAAATTGATACATTGGCAAGGAACACTCAGTCAGAGGAAAGATTATTGTCACTAGTGTTGCTTTCAATAGAAAAAGGGCTTTTATATGCTTTGATGGAATCAACGACGAGTGATTTTTATGATAAAATAATTAATGACTTTGCAGAAAAAAGTTGCAGAATACAGTTAGTTTATAAGAAAATAATAAAAACAAGTTCTTGAATCTTTGTTTTGTGTCAATTATCTATTTTAGAATTAAAATAAATAAACTGTTTATTTTTAAAATTTTGATGGAAACACAACTTCCCTGTCATCAAATGTCACCGCACACCACTGATGTCCGTAAATTCAAATTCTTGTTGATTTTCTTTTTGAAACTGTGTCCTGTTTTATGTTTGTGGCGTAATAAACACTAGTATTGTGTTTTATTCCAAAGACACATGGCAAATTTTCCATCAAATTCCTTTATTAGTTGACTAATAAATGAATAAATGAATTTGATGGAAAATTTGCCATGTGTCTTTGGAATAAAACACAATACTAGTGTTTATTACGCCTCAAATTCTTGTTCTTTTAAATTTGTATATACATTCTTTTATTATTCTGTTCCTTTATATTCTAAAAATCCTTTATATCCTGTTACAGGATATAAAGGATTTGTTAAATTTGTTGCTGGAGTTATAAAGGTGTAAGTTTTTGTGATCTGAGTATTTGATAACAAGTTCATTATATGGACTACAGAGTAGTTAGTTAAAGCCAATTTGCAGCACTGCAACATTATTGACATTATATTCAACATATTTGATTTAAATATAATGCATTTGTATTTGTAACTTAAAAGGTATTTGATTTTGCCCTTGATTTAATTAATTTCATTGTAAGATAGATGTTTTGATATTAAAAATTTTTTACTGTAAAAAATAACTCAAGTTAAAGACAAAACTGATAGAAGAGCAGAATTGATATCACTAATGTTAAAAATATCTAATATATTTATTTTTTCCTATGTTAAATAATAGTTGTGTGTGATCATTGCTTGTATTATTTACAAATTTATCTGTTACTTCTTGAAGAAAATGGAATATAATTTTGCAGATAGTTTTTATTTAAATCTTTTTTTTATTTTTGTTTTTTTAGATTTGGAAAAGTGGCAACCTTATTGTCGCATTACATTGAAAATTACTAAAGAGGTAAGATTAATGATCCATTTTACTTGCAGTTTTATTCATTACAAAACAGTTTAATTTAATTAAAAATAGGTTGCTGGATATAATACTATTAGCGAAGCATTTCGGAGATTGGATTTTACTAATGCTGTTAGAGATATTAGAAGATTCAACTACATATGCAAGGTATTTATAATTATTTCTATACCAAAAAATTATATATATGTAATGGAGTGGAAAGTTCAGACTACAGTCACATTCTTTCAATAGTTCTGGTAAAAAATTACTAATGTCTGAGGAAGGTTAAAGGTAAAATGACTGAAAACATATTGTAATGTATGAAACTAAAACCTATTTTTTTTTTTTTTTTGCTGAAAATGTTGAAAAAATGTGATTATGCTCTGAATTAATTCTATGTAGCTTTTCAATTTTAATTATTTAATCTGCTGTATATTTATAATTAAAAATGAGAATATAACTGATACATTGGTACTTTTTTATATTTTATCTTAATAGTGTAATTCTTTTTTTTCTGTAATTCAATTTATCTTAATTTACTTAAAAATAAAACCTATTACAGTAGAGCCTCGAAAACTCGGCCTAATGTGGACCGAAGGGTGGCCGAGTTTGTGAAAATGCCAGGTTATCGGGAATGGGGTTAAAAAAAGAATAAGTATGAGTGTTTCCTCAGAAAATACTGTACTGTACTTGTATGTATTGTTTACTTGAGAATACAACAGAGAATAAACTGCCCAAATACCTTTAAACAAAGGAAAAGTACGTCCTTTATGAAGGCATAGAGCCTTTACTACATGAAAATGAAAATTAATGAATACACTGTGTACAGTAATTTACCTGATAAGACAGACCTCAGAAAAATACTTTGAGGCATAAAGCTGTCTTTATCATGAAAATTAATTAACTAAGGATTTTTTTGCCCTGCCAGGGTGTGGCCGAGTTATCGAGTGCCGAGTTTTCGAGGCTCTACTGTATTTAATATATTCTAGACTTAATTTTAAAAATTATAGACAGGTAAATCTTGTATAAAAGCAGTCTATAAACTTTCTGGTTTAGTTTTGGTTACATTTTTAAAGTTGGTTGTTACCAATTGTTTCAAATGCATATTTTATATTTAAGTGACTTGTTAAAGAGAGATATAAGTACATAATTTTTACAAAAGATAATAATAGAAAGTAAAAATGCTTTTGAAAATGAGAATAGAGATACCTAATACAGGATTAGGAAAAATGAATTTAAGCCCATTTTATACTATATTGAATTGATTAAAGAACATGCTACTAAGGATGAAGTAGTCACTACAATATCCAGCTGAGTTAATCAATGCATCTTTAGCAGTAGGTAAACAGTCAAAAGTGGATTCCCATTCATGCATAAAGATAGTCAGTAACATTTTTGATCTGGTTAACAGTTATTTAAACTTCACACACTATTAAAGATGCTTGATTAATTCAGCAAAATATGCTAAAAACTGAATACATAAAGGTATATCAGGACAAAAGGTAAATACAATAGAAACTATTATTTGTCAGGGATTGAAACAGGGGCCTGATGGATAAGACAATCCCCCTAACAGAACATAAAAATTTACAATCCACAGTTAATACACAGTTCTATATGTATACTTTTGTATGATTAATTAACTATTTACTGTACAGTGCAATATTTGTATGTGATGCAGTACCTTAACTAGCATAAAGTACAGAAATAGAGGCTTTCATACAGTACAGTTAAATTATTTTAGTAGCAAGAAAAGATAAAATACAATAACCTTCTGCACTCTGGTTTATTTAGCACTGTTATGATTAACAGATGCTGATTGTTAGAGTGATAAATAATCAAGTTTTTACAGTTAATGTTAATGTAGCAGCTATGGTTGCATTTGCGTACGTAGTTTGTTGCAACTACATGGATCATTATAGTTCTGTGAGAGGATGGAGTGGCAACATAAGAGTAGGTCCTTGAATGGCCACTTCAGCAATGGCACATTTTTTAGCCTGCTATAGTAAACTATATATACTTCTTCAAAATGTCCCTATCCTCTTAAGAAATGCTGTCGCAATTATCTATTAGAATCCAGTGATCAATTTATTATTCAATCTTCTCAGTATGCTTCATCCTTCATCCAGTCCCATACACAGCTCAATATGTTCTATGGAACAGGACCTGTGAAAAGAATTACTATATAACTACTGACATTTCTGCATTTTTCTCGGAAACCATTCATTTCTGGACAAGGGTCTTCATGGGACTTTTCTTGTCGTGAAGAATCATCTTTCAAAGTATATTTAACTTTACTCCTGATACATCCTGTGTATTAAAAATCTACATCTTTGCATGTCCAGCAAACTAATTTTTACAGAAGGTTTTTCGTAATTATTTTAATAAGTGTAATTTGCAACACTAAAACATCCTTGCACACTTTCTAAGAAAACTTTACATCAAATAACTTTAATATAAAGTGCCTTCCAGAAATTGTACAGGGATGTCTTATTGTTGCAAATTATCTAATTCTAAAAGTAAAAGAGGCTTTTATGCACCAAAATACCAAAAACATGCTAATCTAATCTCATCTGCATTGGTGCCTACTGACAGTAGGTAACTTTGTGCTGGAATTGCTATGTTAAAAGTACCATGTTTTGATTCAAAGATGAGTGATAAATTAAAATTAATTAAAATTTAATTTATTGAATTATTATTATTGTAGAGAATGGAAAATATTTTGCACAAGTACAATAAAAAAATGTATCAATAAATGGAAATTTAGCACAGTAGAAGATATTATTCTATTGGGAAAAGTTTTAAGCTAATATGAATTACATAGAGAACTGTATTTCTTGTTATATCAATAATCACTGCATCAAAATTTGACTGTAATAGTAGTCATTTTCTGTGTAAAAAACAGCTCAAAATAATGCAAAAAGTTAGAAATTGCCATTCATAAATTTCGGTTGCAAATTCCAAAGGAAGATAGCCAAATGGCAATTAATTGCTAATGTTGGTCACTCTGAGAAGAATGCATAATCTCTACTATTAACTAAACTACTAAAAATAGTGTTCTTTGTGTAAAAATGTCATTTTTAGTTAAAAACATATTGCTGATTTTGGCATTGCTTATTAATGTCTTATATTCATATTTTATTCAATTACACAATGCCCCAATGAATAGCTAAAAAGTTCTTTTTCTAGGCCTAGTAACTACAATTTGGAGGTTCTATATAAGAACTATTGGGTAAATATCAACCAAATGTGGTATGCATACCATCCTGAATATGCTGTTCAGATTTACAGGAAAAAATTTTACTTCAAAATTCAGCTGCTGGTTGATGTATGAAATGGAAAATTTGTATTAAGTCACCTAAGTATAAATTGATGAATTCAGCTAAAACCAAACATAATTAGACATCATAATAATGGAATATTTGCCATGGTAAATCAGATCAAATTCTTTATTATTATTATTCAACACCAAGAAAAGTCATCAGATTTGCCAAAAAGTTTCATTACATATTTTGGAAATCATTATGCAACTGCATAAATTTCTTTCCATCAAATAAAAACATCTGAAATTCTAAAAAAAATCATTGCATATTCAATTGGAGACAAAATTCCAATTAAAGCACAGAGAATTACAAAGGAAGATAAATTTTATTATTCAGATGTTATATCACACACTGAAAAACTGTCTGTTCAAACTGTATTGAGTACATACAAACACTAAAAAAAAGCTATGAAACATTTTAGGGTCCAGTGTGCCATGAAAAATTGGTTCTTAATGTGGAAATGTATCAAAAAATATCTCCAATAAACATATTTACCCACAGAAATATAATACTGTACAAGAAAAATTGAAAGTGTCACTAAAATGCATGAAAATATTCTGATGTTATAGCTTATTTTTCAGTCTTTTTCACATTTATACCATCTTTATTATTATTGTCAGTGGAGTATATATCTAGGGTTGTCAGATGTATACAACTGGATTAAAAAGACACTTAAAAATGATTGATGCTATTACCATCTCCAATCATTACTCTGTCCCAAACTCACCTCAAAAAAATAAAATTAAATGATTTTTAAAACAAAGAACATTTTTCTTTCATGTTGAAATGTTTGTGAGATAAATTAACACTGAGAACACTGTCTTTTCAACATTATGCATTCTTTTGCCATTTGCCCGACGAAGACGTTTTTGAAAAGGTCGAAAGTACTTGCAAAAACATTTCTTTTCGTCATTAAACATGGATAATGTTGAAAAGGCAGTGTTCTCAGTGTTAATTTATCTTACGAATGATTAAGGTTTCACAATAGTACAACAATAATACAAACTTTTTCAAGAAGTTTCAAGACTTTTGTACAGCCATTCTCCACAGATGCTTTATTTCATGGTCAAATTCTAACTATATTTACTAATTTTTTAGTGTATGTATTTATTATGTTGTAGGTGTTTGGTACATCGATGTATGTGATTTTGTGTAGTTGGTCAATAAATATGATGTCTAGTCTGTTTTTATGGATTGTTTATCTGTGATTATATGGATCATAGTCAGTGGCTGATTTAGCACTTGAGAGGCCCAAGGTGCAATTCAATTTTGAGGTCCCCCTCTAAATATTTTCACTACCCCTATACCCTACAGTGTGTGTTCTACGTGCATGTAGTCTGGTAGGCACTATACCGTAGGTCCAAAAAAAGTGAGACACGGGGAAATAACATTGAAAATTAATTGATATAAAATTACAACTGCCTGGCTGTATTTAAAAGGTTACTGATGTTCAGATTGTATTAAATTTCAATAGGTGTTAAAAACTAAAAAAATCTAGTAATCCATGGATATAAAAACTAATTTATTTTTAAATTTACTACTGATTTACATTTCAAAAATCTAGTAATCTTTGAACAGTAAGAATTTATTTGTAAATTATTATAATAGATTTCTCTATTGTTTGGTAAATAATGGAGGACATTTAAAACATTTCTTATAATTAATTCTATTCCAAGTATTTGTTTTCATTTTTTGGGTTTTCTGGGAATGCGCTGATTGATAAAGTGAATAAAGAAATCTGATTTTTTGCTTCTGTAACTTTTTATTATATCTTGAATATTATTATTAATTTTTGTTAAAAATAAAATTATTTAAGAATATTTGCACCCTTTTTATACCTACTTTATAAAATACAAATAAGTATTAAAAACTAATTTATTTTTAAATTTTATATCCCTGGATTACTAGATTTTTTTTTGTTTTGAGATAACCATTATTATGTTTAAATATATCTGAAAGAGAAGATTGGACTGGTGATTCGGGTAGTTCAACTGGCAACACATCCGCACGGTAAGAGACAGTTGCGGGTTTGAGTCCCACTCCGTGCCGATTCTTTTCCTTCAGAATTTTCTAAATTATAATTATTAAATCTAGTAAGAGATGGCACTTAATGCCTCCCTCTAGTGACAAATTATTTAGTAATTAATTTTAAAATAATCACAATATAATAACCCGATATAATCCGGTAGTTTTTGGCTTATTATATATGTACAGTACAGTACATTGGATTTGTAGATGTTTGTTTATGTATATATAAACTGCAAAAAACCAAATAAGGGTGCCTGCAAAAATAATGCCATCGACTTTCATGATGTAGATTGCTTCCCCTGGCATAAAAGTCATTCTATGAATTGTAAACTTGCTATCCTCTCTCCCTCCTTTTCTTTTTTTTTTTGTCACCTCCACTCTTCACACATGTATCCCCCATTATTTTAACAGCTGTGGGGTCATTTAGCCTGATGATGCCCACTCAACTTGGGCAAAAATATGATGAATGGGCATCATTTCCCTTTTTTTCTGCTGGTATTTGGTTTTTACTTAATTATGGTTTTTATTCAAGTTCTGAATCTGTTTAGTCTGGAATTTTAAAATTGTGTTTGTTTGAAGATTGTTATTATGTGGTATCTGCAGATCAGTACAGTAAGTAGGCTACATGTTACACTCTTGGATGCTGTTTTCTTATTCTTCTTTTTAGAATAAATATGCACCCTTTTCATTTAGATACTGATATTGCCTGTGGAAGATCTGATTTCTTTCTTAACACTTTCAGGATTTTAATATTGAAATCCTCACTTTCTTTCAGAGGAAGGAGCTTGCATTTTCTTCCTCTAACTCCTCGTCAAGCCATTTCAGAAACATTTCATTACAATTTATGATAGTATGTATATACAATATCACTTCCCAATTAGACTTGTACTACTTTGAATGTGGAAAAAAAGTCATAGGATTACTCACAGGTGAGTGCTGCACTAACTTGTCCAAGACAACTGAAACAAAGGCAGCACTGGAAGTATTAACGATGACTATTATTTATGATTCTGATATCTTGTCAAAGGGGATACTTGGGTAGGAAGGTAGATGAGAATTTGTCCATAAAACTTCCAAGAAGCCCAAGTTACAAGTGTTTTAAAACAAAAGGTGAGTGCAGCACTCACCCTCGAGGAATGGCGGGTTAACGTTAACAGAAAAGCTCAGAAGACGACGATATTTTACCAAAAGTTTCCTTTTGGTAAAATATCGTCGTCTTCTGAGCTTTTCTGTTTCCCTGTTTAACGGCGCAGAAAAAATTAATATTAACACACAATATTTTTGAACGTGATTGTTAGTTAATTATTGATTGCTTTAATAAACATATTTTTCCTAATTATGAAAAAAAATAATATACTTTTGCTCACTTTTGAACATAACCCTACATTTTGTAATAGTCCTTTGTTTTGTATACCATGTATTTGCATAATACTGCACTCACTTTTTCAGAACCTAACTACTGTGTTATATGGGGGGCTTGTCAAATTTAAACATTAGTATGAGGGCGTGAAGTCCTATTGAGATGGATTTATAAAAATAACTAGTATTGAATAAGACTGAATTTGTAATTTAGTTTCTAAACATATTAAAGTATTATTTCTAAATTATTTTTAGCTGTTACACCTACTTATAACACAGAACCTGACCACTCTTAGTGGTTGTGCTACCAAAGTACTTTTCACAATGCTGGAAGAAGTAGCATGGCAAGGTAATATAAGATTGTTAAAATAATAAAAAAACACTAATAAAACATAAAAATAAAATAAATTTGAAATTTATAATTTTCAGTGGCAAGTAATCAACAAAATATTCATATTCTCCATACACTTCTTCATGACCTAAAGAAAACTATGCGAAAGTATTACTGTTGGGGTCGTCCATTAGGGAGTACGTTGCTCTGGGAACAACATTTACGCACTATCGAACGAATCTGTCTCATGGCTAGTCACATTGAAATCAAAGAGGTAAAACATGTAAATACCCATTTAAAGATTAAAAGTTTATGCAAGTTTTATAAATGTTATTTTTTTGAATTAGCCTGAAGATGGTCGAAAGTTAACTGATCTTCCAACTGAACTCATCAGGGAAATTCTTCTTCGCTTGAGTGATTATAAAGACTTGTTGAACTCTGGACAGGCATATGATGTAATGAAAGCACTCTTAGACGAGCAACATATATGGAAGCAGTTATGCCATTTCCATTTTACGTGTCAACAGATTCATAATGTTTTAGAAAATGGCAAGGGTAAATTGAAACATAGTAACAAAATTGATTGGCAGCAACTCTTCCATCATCTACGTCGGTAAGTGATTCCAACATCCAAAACAATGTTTTCTGGTTTAAGTGCACATGATTTAAGGACACAGAGAGTGTTATTAAATCATATTGAAACTGAATAACAAAATATTAAGATAAATTTCTAATAGTTAATGAATTAACTTCAAACTATAATTCCTTTAAGTACAGATTCCTTGATATAAAATATGTATTAAAATCAACTGAAACAAACACTACATATTCTAATTTAAAAAATTTGACAGAATATTTTTGTATATATTCTGTTTAATTGCTATTAAATAAGCATTATTAAACAACAATTATTAATAATTTAAAATTACTTTAAAAGTTTATAATAATAAATTCTACATTTGATATTTAAAATACTATAAATAGGTTGATCTGTCATGAATAATGAGTTAAAATTTTGTTCTAAAATACTTAACTTTCAATTCTTTACCTTTTGTAATATAAAACATGAGTTCATTTCATAGTTATAAATTTAATTATTAAAAATAAAAGAATAACATGAACAATCCAAATATATATTTATTTAATGCTATTACTTATTATAAATAAATTCTATTTGTAGTAAATTTGGATTGAAAGAAGAATATGCAGATTATTTATTTCTCTGTAGACACTGCCGGAGTTTATTTTGGAAAGTAAGTATAATATTTAAGTTTAAATCAATTAATTCAGTATTAATTATGTAAGTTAATGATGTGCCTTACACCTATAATTAAAGAACATTAGTGTTTTGAAAGTAGAATTAATTTCAAATGTCCATGCCTGTGTAGGACTGTACTGGAACTAGACTGTGTTAAATACAAACTTCATGAATGAATATTTTTATTTTTTTCAGTTATTAGGTCAATTTTCAGACAGAATACTATCAGTGACACCATATAATATAAATAATGACACTGATCTTAGTGCAAGTTACAAAACTAAATACGTCAATGGCAGTGCCACTCAAAAGATTAGGGTGTCCCCATCACAAAGAATTAAGGATCCTACATTGTGCCTTTTTTTTGTCTAGCTAAAATTGGAAAAATAATTTCTCTTAGCTGGGTTCACAGGATAAGTATAGAAATGCTTGGCTTGTAGTTTATTGTAAATTATCACCATCCTTGAAGTTACCTCCACCATGCCTCTGTCAATGAACACATCATTAAACTAGAATCTGCCTCAAATGGTACTATTGTTAGATGGACTTTGACATTAGTCATTGGCAGTTCCATTCATTTGTCATACACACATAAACAGGTAATCACTGTCCAGTGAGTTGCCATTTCCCTTATTAGATTCTGTCACACAATTCACTTTCTTCATCTTCAATTTTGTTTCTACTTTTGTGTCTCAGAGACGGTTGTGGAAAGCTTCGTACACAGCCTGAGAGTAGAGTGGGTCCATTTTGTTTCTTTTGCTTGTTTTTCTGAACAAATGAAATATATACAGAATGTTTCTTTATTGACAAAAAAGCAATTTAAAAATTTTATTTTCAGTTAGATGTTGCCTGACACCTTGGCAGGTTGCATGCAATACTATTAGTACAATGTCTAATCTACATGGGTTGATAATGATGATAATAAGTGCAGAGCCCAAACGGTTAGGAGTTGAAAGTTGGTACACAGTTAGTGTACGTTCTTGTGACGTATGCTAAGAAATGATTTTCCGAAATGCCCCCTGCAGAAGAGAGGGAGAGGATTAAGGCTTAACCTGAAGAACTGGTTCTACTGTGCTATGCCATGAGAATGCACATTAAGAAGGGATTTTTGGAAATTCAACCCCCTGAGGGAAAAGGAGGAGTGAGTTAGTTTTAGTCAGTATAAAGTGTAAATAATAAAGAAGGAAAGTAAATAGTAGTACATATAGTATACATTTTGGCAATTAATAAATATTTTAATCATTTCCATTTTTCGGGTAACCCAAAAATAATAAATCCAAAATAAATGAATTTGAACAAATATTTGTATTCGTTCCAAATTTGAAAAATTCAAAAAATAATGTTCCAAAGAAATTTCTTTAGGTTTTAGAATTTAAAATTAATCATTTTATTCAAGTAAGTTAATTCCCCATTATAATGAAAAATTTTCAGATTTTTATTTTATTTTATAGGTTATTTCATTTTCTATTTTTTAGGTTACTTAAATAAAAAATCTTTAGTATTTAAGATTTATTCAGTTAAAATTCAATGATGATTTTAATTATTTTTTTCTATTAGATATTCAATAAATAGAATAGAGAAAACAAAATTTCTCATAAATTTGACCCTAATCTTATAATATAATTGAGATGGGTTGATAATAATAATAATATTATTATTAAAGGCAGAGCCCAAACAGTTAGGAATTGAAAATTGAAATTTAGTACACAGTTAGGGTATGTCATGAAAATGTACACAAAGAAAGGATTTTCCGATATCTCCTGTGGGGAAGAGGGAGAGGGTTAATGCTAGAAATTGATCTTAACAACTAATTATTAGAATATTTGTTATGAAAAATTTACCTATTTTGCAACTGCAATGGGTGCAATTAATTGCACCTTTGATCAGAAATGGCTCAAAAGCTGTGTGTACACTGTAGACTTTTCAGCTAGATTTGCTTTTGCTCTAGCTAGAGCTCTCACTAACATCCATGCTTATGTAAACTGCTCTAGCAATATTTTTATCTTAGCTCTTGCTAGAATTGCAGTGTAAATGACATGTACTAGTCTAGCTTTCTCTAGCTCTATTTGTTCAAATACATTTTCATGCTCTAAATAGTTTCATTTGGTGTGTGTACTGAAATGCCAAGTAAAGGCAAATACTTCAAGTGGAATAGAGATGATATTAATCTTCTATTAATTTAACAATATGAAATCTCTCTGGAATGTTTCGTTAAGAGTACAGTGAGAGGAACAAAAAAAGCGTAGTTTTAAACATTTCTGAAGCAGAAATGTTTAAAACTATGCTTTTTGGGTAATTTCTGAAGCAGAAATTACCCAAAAATGGCACAGCTTAAAGTGTCAAATAAATGCTGAGTTAAAGAAAAAGTGATGATGGTACAGATAACATTTTACAGATATTTTCTTACTTTTGATTCATTAATACAATAGAAGCTGCACCAACCCAGTCATCTTGTTCACACATTCATGATATATTAACTCTAGAATCCTGTAGACCAGTGATGTCAAACCTGTGATCTGTGGGTCTCGCAGTGATAAATGCTACGGTTTCTAAATATTCAATGTGGTGACCTTGAAAGTAATAGGTTATCATAAATTATAAAATAATTGATAGATTAAAAGCTTTGCATACATATTGTGAAAGTAGGGTCCTAAAGCTGTCACGAGAAGTCTTAAAGGCTAATTATGAACCTCGGATAGAAAACTTATCATCAAATAAATAACAAAAGATTTCTCATTAAAGATCTATTCTCACATATCAGTGACATGTCCAGTCATTTTTGTGAAGTGTCATCAGAGTCATTGATAAAAAAATAATAATGTGTGAATACTTCAATCAAATTCAAACCATGTCCTGCCAGCACAGTGTCATATTTTAGTCTTCAGTGTCTAATTAGTATCCATACCACAATTTTGATTTCTTACTGATGTTTTGTACAGTTTCTGATTTGTGTTTATTTTCTATATTAAATGTTCCATGTATATTATCAAAAAAATAGTAAAATAAAAATGTTTATGTAATTTAAATAAATTTTTTATGATAAAAAATAACTTTTCTGAATTGGCTAACTAACTTTTGGTGATTTCTGGAGAGTTTTTCCATCACCAGTGATTTTACTTGACACTCTTGGCGAAATTCACAGACACAGAATTAGCAGTCTTAAATATTATTGTCATGACTGATCAAATTGCATGGATGTGCATATATAAGCATCACTGATATGTGAATAGACAGTAAATGAAATATTTGTTTGTTATATCATGTTATTATTCTATTGTTGTTACATAGATTATAAAATTAAATGACAAAGTAAAATTTGTAAGCAATTTTTTTTTATGTTTAATTACTCAAATTCAATTTTGATCCATAATCAGATAAAGGTTTGTCATCACTGCTCTAGACAGAGTTCTCTACATAAAAAAAATATTTGTTGTTTGAGTACCCTGTAGAGTAAGTCTTGAAAGAGTTATTCTAGCACTACTCCAGTGAGAGCAAATTTGGATACTGCACATGCAGTTATAGACTATTCTCAGTAGAGAACAGGAAATCTAGCTAGAATTTTTTTTCTACATGTACCTGTAGTTTAAAAGCATTGTGTTTAGTCCTTCTAGTCACAATTTATATTTGAATCAGACAAAAGAATTCACACAAAGAATTAGGACTGTTCTAGTCAACTATTGCTAATGACAAGTCAGCAACTGCTGACATTTATTCTTTGTACAAGATCTTAAGCAAGGAGCATTTGTATTTTCAATGTTACCACAGGATTTTAAATCCATTATTGAATACTATTAAAATCAACACTTATTTTTAAGTTTTAAAATCAACACAACATTGCTTTTACTGAAGAACTTGCTCCCATTAGTACAAATAACAAAAACCCAAGTACTTTTTGAGTCTCCTGCCTAAGCTTTAGGGATGTTAATTAATATGACACAAAAAACATATAATTTGAAATTCCAATGAAGCTTAGAACTTTCTTCTAAAATAAGAATATCAAAGGTCACGAAACCCAATATGTATATATAAACATTACCAAACGATCGCCAACTATTTGGGCTAAAATATAGCTAATTTTAATAATTAATACATAGTAATTTGCTACTAGAGGTAGACATTAGGTGCCAATTACTATGTATTAATTATTAAAATTAGCTGTATTTTAGCCCAAATAGTTGGCGATCTTTCTTCAAAACTATTAAAAATATCCAAGTACAGCAAATTTCACAGACCTTGGCCAGGCTATAAAAATGTGCAGTAGCAGGAAACAGTCTTACATAATGGAAAAAATAATTATTAGATGAATCTTTGACATTACAAAAAAAAATGACCTTTTCAACATTCTAAAATTTCAAATCATGACAGACTGGTTATCACAATTTCTTTGTCATGGAATTTTGTGTTCTATATACTATTAATACAGTATTAAATATATATCAACATCCTAAAGTTCAATGTATTGATACTAAGCCAAGAGATGGCATCTAACCTCTATCTCTAGTACTAAATTACTTACTTTCTAATTATTAATTATAGCATAATAGCAGCCCAATTAATTATGGCAATCGTTTGGCTCAGTATTAAATATTTCAGTACCTTAATAAAATTCAAATTTGTATTAATAATAATAGATTAAAAAAATAGATTATATGGTGTCAAATTATTTTTTTATACATAAAACTTTTTCAATAATAAAATTCAACTAATCAATCAAAAATTAAAAGGTTAAAAAATGATAGTCTTTTAAGAGTAGTATTTTTAAGAGAAAATAAAATTTAAGTTTTGATTTACATAAAATCATCAAATGTGATATAAACAAGGCCACAAGTCGTCAGTTCTGCCAATATCTCCGGTATGCCTACGTCTTGCTGTTTATTCACTTTCTCCAATTTGCAAGAATTATTCTTTGCACAATTTCTTTGTCATCTAATTTAAATGTTACATTATGTTTTCTGATTCACTGTTTCCTCTCTGCCCAAATTAACTTTAATGGTTTCAAATTAGTACGATTGTGATTATGCTTCTCCAATAATCTGTCAATTTGATAGTCGATTGTTTGCAACTTATTTTAATTCGTACAGTTTTGACTCGATACTTGCTTTTAAAGCATTTGAAAAAAGAATATTCATTTCTTTCTTGAATTTGAGTATGACATTACTCATCTTGCACATTATGATATGTAGCAATATTGATAATTAAAACAGAATTGGAATATTTGGGAGATTTTTTCTTTTGATAAGCAACAGTTTTAGTTCTTTTAGTTCATATCATGGTTATAATCACTAGTTCTCTGTTGGGATTTAAACATTAATGTCAAAATTAACGTATTGTGACATCGTCACAATGCCATGCAGCAATTTTTAATCATATATTAATTTAAATTATCGTAAGGATCAATTCTACACCAAATATATCATCCTATACAGCAGTAATATTTTTTGCGGTCTGCGTAAAATATGAATAAATATATCAATTTCCCATCTTAAAGAAGTATGCAGCAAAAATTCAAATGTTATTTTCTACAACTTATGTATGTGAATACTTTTTCCACAATAAATTTAGTAAAAATTAAAAGAAAAAACTGGCTGACACGTCGAAACTAATTTAAAGCTAGCGGTGACTAATATTTAACCAAATATTTTCAATAGACATTGGTTCCAGAAGCTAAATTAAGTAAACCTATGCTAATTTATAATTATATATGAATAAATAAATGTGATTTACCGACACGTTTTCCTCTCTTTTCTCTTATATGCGGCCCGTGTCGGTTCAAAAGTTTTGAAATGAGGCCCTTACGTAGAAAAAGGTTGCCCGTTTCCGCTATACGGGAAGGTAAAAACTTTCAGTCGAAATCACGTAACTTCTAATCCAAGCTAGAAGTCTGCACTTAGTTAATAAGGGCCACCGGCCCCAAGCTCTCCGTATCCCGTTTCAATTTTCATCCGTCTAACTCTGTCATCGAGATTAATTAACGAAGGACGGATGGACGGCAGACGACGGTGGAAATTTTTAGGTCTTCAATTTGAAAATTGCAGCTTAAAATACGACCAAGTGCGTCGGTAGAGAAAGGCCATTACATATTTATATTTACTTTACATACCAGAACTTTCATATTTAAAAATAATGTTCTGTTACAAATTTTCATCAGTTGCCAGTTATAGTTTACCAATTTGGACTTCCGTCACTCCTCTAGTTTAAACTTCAGGAATCGAGTACAGTGCATTGCCCGAACAAGATATACAAAATCCGTATATCTCTCTTCTTTTTTTCTATATTTTAGGTATGCAGCTTTATATAATCCACTTCCAAAACACCGACAAAGCACGTACGTGTCCGATATTAACAATTTATATATTAACTCAAAATCCCCGTACATCCAGATTTTTTCATTTCTACATATATCCTCATTTTTTCTCCAATAGCTTTGCTTATTCCAATTTAATAACTACCTTCTTTCTTTGTCTTTTTCATCAAAGGCACTATCATTCTTCCTTTCTTTTTTTCTTTGAAGGAAATTTTGAAGAATCTAGTCATGTTTCTAACCCCTCTCCCCGGTGCTTCTATATAATATATCCAACTTGTTCTGGATGGAAGAGTATATATCTGACTCTTCCATCAGTATCAAATATTTTCACGCTTTTTCCACTCATTTTTTATTCCTTAGCCCATCAAAGATTGTAACATTTCTTTTAAAAACTATTCTTTTCCCGAACTCTAGGGCTTTATAAAAAGAAAAACTCTTTCAGCTTCCTTTCTTCTCTACTGCACTGGCAACATTTTTCTTCTAATTTCCAAATCGTCCTTCTAAACTCTTCCTTCTATCCCACGCTGATGTGTTACGTGGAAGTAAGTACCATCCTTCCGAAATTCTTTGTACCAGCCGAAGGCGATAGCGAAGGAAGGGAACACGGTCCCAAAAGACAGTTCTTTTCGACCCAAAGATGACGGCTAATCATCGCACCCAGCGCTTATCTAGAAAGTTCCACGGTTACTATCGGAAAGGGCCCGTCTATTCGAGATGGACGAAATTTATTATTAAAATAACAAATAAACGCTTTAACCAGCGACAGATAGTTTTCTGGTATTCCGAGACTTTCAGATTTCGGGATAGTTGCCGACGGATCGCGTCAAAGGGTAAAGTTTAACCGGGCGAACTTTTTTCTTTGCAGTCTTTCGGACATCCGTGCTTGGACCTGTTTACCCCCGCTCAAAACGATAACGAAGAGGGAAACGACAGAGACGACGACTGCGTGGGTACGGTACCTCTGTACGTGCCGGTACCGCCTCAAATGTTTCTCAAGTTCTTTTCTCTGTGATGGCTCGTCCGGTACACCGTTCGATTTCTTTTCTTTTATCTCCAGTTCCCCAAATTCGACTTGGTTCTATTTTTAACGTTTTATTACGAAACGGCACAAAAGAAAAAAACTCCGACTGTGACGCCGCGCGGCCTCTAAAGATAGTTTAATATTTTTAAAACTTAGTTTTTAATCCCGTATTTTTTCACCAGCGGGACCAGGGCCGGCGTCGACGTTTTCGTCGGCGTGGCGAGGAGATTCCGCGCATTTATTTTCTTCTACGGAACGTAATCGGACGGCGCAAGACGAAGTTAAAGCGCCCGAAAGTATTAGAAATAGGCCCGGGTCTCTTTCGTCGGCGAGAACGTCGAGGCGGCCAACCCGGGATATATCGGTCCTATTTTTGTACATATCGGAACCGCGCGACAATGAAAACCCGTTAGTTTCTGCAAGCCTCGGGCGGTTCGAATTAACGGCGAAAAATTTTATTTTACTAGATCCGAATGTATATAAAGAGACTTTATGCCCGACGCATATACACCTATACATATATTATATTATTATTATAGATATAAGGTACTCGTTACGTATCGTCGACGTAGATTAGATAACGAGCCCGCAGGCTGGGCTCGAAAATGAAAAGAAAAAAAACAGATACGGATTATATTTGTTTTCTCTCGATAGTTTAAGGAAAATGTTGACGTAATTATTCTATGGTAAATTTTAATTATGGTATTGGCCGTCTGGCGAATAAATCGTAGGGATTTCGACCGAGAGAATCTCCTTAAAATTCTCGTCGACCCGGTTAATCTCAATTAAAGTTTAACTTAAAAGTATTAATCCGTTAAGTCGACGCGGGCGCCCAAATATATGTTGAATGTTTTTTGTATTTTACGTTTATTTTATACCGGGAGGGAATTTTATTTCTCTTTTTTTAAACCTGTGATACGACAATATGGCAGCTTTATCGAGTTTTTATTATTGTTATTTTTAAAGTTTTCCGGGCACCGCGTTGCTCTCCGCCGTTTATTCCCGGGCCGGCTTTAGCCACCCGTCCGGGTGGACCGAGATCGAAAAATCCCCGGGAATTTTTCGGGTGGTCGTCCGGATACGTCGGGTCCCGTCCCGACCCTTAATGGGCCGGCTAAAGAGAGCCCCTCTTAACGCCCGCCGGGCGGAAAAAGTTAAAAATCGGGTCCGGCCTTAAGCAAAATATCCGAAAAACGGGTGGGCGCGGTCGACCGGTGGGAAAGGACGGCGGAGGGAAGAGGAATCGTCTTCGACTCGGTCTTCCGATCGCCTTTCCACTCCTCCGATGGTTTCCTCTTCCGGTATTTACTCTCGCCGCGTGCGTGGCGTTAAAACAATTTATCTCCTTTTCGCCCTATTACCTGTAAGTTTATTGCCGTTAACTTATTGTAAAAATGTTGGTAAATAAAATAATTCCACCAAACGGTCTGCGCGCGCTCTTTATTTTTACCACGCCGATCCGTCCGGGATGCGATCTCGCGCGTCGCTAGTCGTCACGCCTGGCGATTTCGCGTCGTCTACTTTTTTCTTTCCTCTATCGCGGTTGGTAAACGACGGAACTTTCTACTCAGTCCTTTAGCTATATTTAAGATAATGTTATTAATAAAAAGTAAAAACCACCGGTATTTTATATCCGGAAATCTAAAAAAGGTCTTTCCGTCGACGGCGCCACGCGTACGCTCTTTTATCTTTTCTCGGATAAAGCGAAGAATCGAATAGACTGGATTCGAACGCCGTAACTACTTTTAACGACGCGGCGCGAAAGGCCTCGGCTGATGGGTGCGACTTTTTTGTTTTCAGTTGCGCTTAGGAAGAGATTTTAAAGCGGACGAGAGCGACGACGGCTCCGCTCGACCGCTTAAGAATTGACAATACTGTAAACTTATTTTCAAAAAACAGAAAAGTAAAAGTAACGTACGCAAAACATTAGTAAATACGCCACCTTCCGTCGGTCGTAAATCAATTTTTTGGTGGTGGGAGAGGATTTAGAAATGACGTTTCCTCGGAAAATAAGGGAAAGGCGCAAAAAAGCTTTCAAATATAAAACGATTACGCGAATTTTGTTGTTTTTATTCTGTTATTCTCGGACGGCCTTTTAGATTTTACCAATTGGCAAATCTAAATACTGTACGTGGTAGTCGCTCGCGGATAACTCGGGTTACGTAACGTTTGAAAATTGCGCCAGTCGTTATATAATTAAATTTTCGCGGGAAGATCACGTGATTTAAAGTCGTTCGTAAACATTCTACCTCCGTATTAATTGGCACTTAACCTCATTCTTTTTGTCTATATTTCTTGTGAATTAAATAAAGTTGTTCCTTAAAATAGTGGCAGATTACAACAACAGTTAAATAATGAAAATTATTAATTTATATAAGAAAAGCAATTAACATTAAGAGTTTACATTTAAACGTGGCACGATAATTGCCTTTAGAAACCTGCCCAATGTCCCGCTATTTCCAACCATTTCAAGTTAATTTGAACTAAATACGGGCAATTATAGATATATTTTTGATTTTAAATGAAATAAATCGGTGTTACGCACGTGTATAATTTTGCTTTAAATATACAGGTTTTTACTATATTATGTATACGTTATTTATTTTAACAGCGATAAAACTCTTTAAATTGATTATACGAGTTTAATTTTGACATTTACTGATTGTTCTTCGGGCTTCTTTCGAAAATAATTTATTTAATAACCTTCAAAAATTTTGGCGGCACACCCGTCGACAATCACTCCTCTAAAAGAACAATAATTGAAATACCAACATCAATTACGTAGAAACTTGCCAAAATGGCCGACAAAGTAGGAACTAACAAATTGACTTTACTGTCCGAAAGATGAAAATGGTAATTTCGCCATCGAGCCGAAATCCGCGGCTCGTATCAAAACGGATAACGAAACGACGTATTTTAATTAAAATCCCGAGGTCGAAAAGAATGTAATTAGTAAATCCCGAGATATTTAAAAGATAAAATGCGTGCAGCGACCTTCTCGGAAGTTATTTATTGAGAGTCGCCTAATACTTAGTACAGTACTAACATTTATTTGGTAGTTAAATGCGCTATTTATCTATTCTAGAGGATCTCTCTCTACGGTCAATAGTTCTTTTTCGCGAGAAAGTAAAACACGGACTATTTGACCGGCGGAGGTGTAAAACTGATTAGCATCGAGTTGCGACGACGCGTGCCGGTGTCCCTTAAGCCCGGCGATCGCTAGCCATCACTACGTAACACTACGTCCAATATTATTTAATAGTCCTTTAAGTATAACAGACCACGGCTTCAAAAAGTAATTACAATACTATTTATCGCGAAAGTCTTGTATATATCAATTTTCGATAATCGACTTCCGGTAGATCAATAAGTTTCCTCAAAGACCCAAACAAATTTATGGATAAATTAACGGCGAGGAGAGATCTACCCAATTCCATTCTCGATGCGGTCCCGAGATAGACCTATTAATACGGAACACCCGCTTACTCGCTTAACAACCCGTAGAACAACCGTATTGCCTCAAATCTGTTCGCTAAGAGACCACTCCAAACCGGAAGAGCACAAAAATACTGTACTTGGTCCAATCGAGGAATCAAATAATCTAAGATAATTATTTAATGAAGATGCTTTAATTCTAATAAATACTTTAACGAGACTAGAAATTTTAGCTATCGCGTCGAGTAAACTTTTATTTAAACGATAGGAAAATGTGAAAAATAAATACCTAGATATTTAAAATTTGGCATAATTTCAAGTTTACGGTTTTCTAAACAAACTGTGTGTCGTTTTGTTTTCCACCTCTACGAAAAATCACGAGCTTTGTGTCTTTTCCGAATTAATCGTCAATCGATTATGTTGACAATATCTCCAAGTAAGAGCGAATCTTTCCCTAAGCGCAGAAGCCGAATTGGCCAAGAGTAGGTCCTCTTTACGCCGATGACATCATCGGCGTAAAGAGGACAATTAATTTCAACACGAGAAAGATTGCGCTATCTCTCAAAAGGTGAGGAAGATCATTCGAAAACAAAATAAAAAGATAGGAGCCGATGGTTCTCCTCGAAGTAGCCCTGTATTGGACTCGATCAGTAAAAAAGGAAAAATTTTGTATATCTCGTATTAGAGAAGAGATTCTTAATAAGTAAATGAACGAAAAACGCAGAAAGACCTATACTCCTAAGCTTATACCGTAACAAATAGTCGTCGACTGTATCGAAAGCTTTCGTCGGGTCGATAAAAGCAGTATTATAGTTTCCCTCGAAAGTGATATTTGAATAAGACCGACCAAAATAAACTAATTATATTCGATGCCTCTATTTTTAATAAACACTCCTTGGAGAAATGTAACAATATTAAACTCGTCGGTCCAATCCCGAAGAGAATTTGCCGTAATAGTTGAAATAACCTTTCTAAATACGCTAATTAAAGCGATTGGTCTACGATTAGTTGCCGTCTGCCTACTTCTTATAAATCATCCTTAAAGCTAATTGTTTCCAAGATAAAAGACCAACTAGACCAAAAGGAATTAAACGTATCCAATACATCAAACTATATTTCTGCAGAAAGGTATTTTTATCATTTTATTCCTCGTTACGGAGACCGGGGCCTCGGATGATTTTAATTTTCCGATTACAGTTTCCAATTCACTCAAAGTGATAGGATCGTCCAAAAGAGGAACCTTAAATCAAAACGAATTACTATATTAGGTCCGGCGAAATACCTCAAATAATTCGACCAATATAGCAGGGGAATATAGCATTTTCACGCGGTTTCTTAGTTGGAAATTTATTAACTAATGACCAAAAATCTTTAGTATTTTCGGTCCTGGATAGTCGAGACTTTATTTTAGCCAAAATTAGCTTTTTCTTCGCCTTACACGGCGACTTATAGCTTTCATTTAATTTGCAGTATTCGTCCAATAGACTCGTAGTTTTATTTATACGAAACTTTCGTAATACTCGGTTCTTTGTTTTCTTTAAACCATTGTTTCTCAAGTGCTAATAAAGAAATATGTTTCTTAATCACTCCATATCGTACAGCCGATGTTACTGTAGCGAACTATTACGATAACGTAACTCTTCGCATCCAACAACAAAGATCCCTTTAACCGAAATACTGTATATAACCAACTAATCAGAGATAAATAATTATTCGATCTTTCTTGTTTCCATATAAAACGAACTTTTGGAAGTTTCGGAGCCGACACACCGTCTGTCGTAAATCCAAACGATATTGAAATTGGAAAATGATCACAATTAAAAATATCAACAACTCTAAAACCTAATAATGTATCTGATAAATTCGTATTTACTGTTATTAAATCTAAAACAGATAAAAGTAAATTCGGCCGGATAGCCACATGGACAGTTTAAAATATATAATCCGTACGACTTAATTGTAAAAATCCTTTCCTTTTTGGTTTAAAATTAAAACATTATCCGATTCCTCGCCTATTCTAGCATTCGTGTCCTCTAAAATAACTATATCATCCCGAAAAAATCTTCCATTTTAGCATAAAGATCTATTCTCAGAAAAACGAGAATAATCATAACGCTATAATTAAATGAAAAGTTTTCGCTACAGTTAAATCTAATTATTATCGGATCGTCGGAGTTAAACGACAATTCCGAAAACCTAGTTTATGGAAATCCGCACGAACGAGACCAATTGCGTTCTTGGCAAATTGTTCGTATAAAAATAAATCTGGGTGAAAGCAACTAAATCATAATTTTGCAACAAATACTCTCGGTCATTCGCTGTCCAATCCAACATTTCTGGGCAATTCCGAGACAATATTCTCATTACTAAAGTTTTATCCCTATCTTTAGCATTTGTTCCAATTAAGCCTTTTGGCTGGATTTGCTTTAAAAAGATATTAATCTTCAGCAGTTCGTTCGTTTCTGGGTCGAAAGCGAATTTGTCACCATCGACTGTCGTAGATTTCGCTTCCGCAAAAAAAGGAGACAAACTTCTACGCCCGAGTCTCGATATACATTACAAATCACCAAAAACTGTAATGCGCGAGAAAGACGGCAATTCCCGAATTTAAAAATAAGTATTTTGTCGGCTGAAGTTTACGGCTCAAACGATATTCGAATAACCGTTAATGAAAGAAATCTGTCTTTTAAACAACTCGATTAACCATTGGCATTATTAACAAATTCTTCGTCGTTAGCACTCGAACCGGAAATGGTAATGTTATTATTCTTCGAATCGTACACAGAATCTATATAATAATTCTAAAGAGAAAAATTATCCATACATACAGTCCGGAAACTTCTCCTTCCAAGCGGGTCACACGTTCTCGTATTCCTTATGTAAATTACACGACCGGTGAAACTCCCATGACAATTCTTCCACTTTCGATATATTATCGTCAAAACGTTCCCCGAGAGAAAACAGAATCTTCCGAGGTATTTCGGAAGAAATATCCTGCCATAAAAAATAATCGTCGGGTCGAAATGACTTCCATGTTGGTTCACTCGGCCATCGACGACTTTACCGGCAGAAGTCGAAGCTTTATTACGAGAACTCCTCCAATAATGAGTAAAAAGAACAAAATTAAAAAAGAAAATATTACGGAAAAAGACAAAAATGCAAACAGTCGAATCGTAGATCCTAACCGTAAAAAAACACGCCAACAGCCAACGCTGTCAAAAGCGCCCCCGCTATCTAACAATATTTAAAAACAAAATATTTTGAATATTCGTGCATAATATGAACTGTTCGGCACTTAATCTTGCAACGATCGCCTAAATGTATCTATAATTGCATCTTCGTTTGCTAAAGAATGAAAACGTGACCGGTATAAACTATAAATGCGCGATACAGTTTAATGCTATATTGTGCGTTGTGAAAATAGGCCGTATAAGTACTGTAACGCTTTTCTACTGGCAGTCTGTGATCGTGTGACTTTAAGCCGTCGTTATTCTTCCAAACAACGCGTTAGCGATTGCACCGAAAGCTTCGTGGATAAATTTCATCGTCTCTACGTCGTTCGCAAACAAATTAAAATTAATCAAAGGCTAGTGATATTAAGTTGTTTGTTATGGCGACGCGACACTCGGGCGATCTGCCTATGGGGGATGCCTTCCGGGAGGTCTTTTAAGGGAAATCGATCCCTATTTAGGCGTTACGAACCCGGAAAACTCCGCGTGGTCCGAGCGATTCGCCAGCCCACTACTGGTGGGCCCTTAGTGGTATTAAGAATATATAAGCAATATTTCCAATAACGATAAACTGTTTTTTCGAATTAATCTTATGCCGATTGTTATACACTGATATTTTTAGTTAAATAACAAGTTATTGTTTAATTTAACTTATTTTACACAAACGTTCCGTATACATAAATTAATACGAGTATTGATACAGTTTAATATTTATAATATGGGATATACAATATTTGATATAAAAATCCTTAATTATGCAAATCTACTTTATTTTNTATATATGTATATATAAAGTATAAAATATATGCTTTATACAGGTACAGTACATATTATATATCATGCATTTCGAATTGCTAATTTTCCAATCCCTCTTCCGGCTTACGGCTTCGGTGTCTCTACAACATAACGAACAAAAGGTTAGTTCGTGTTAATATTAGAGATGCCACGAATATTCGGCTACTATTCGGTATTCGGCCGAATACCGAATCATAAAAAAAAACCGCACATATTACTCAAAAACGTATTTATTTTAATCACAAATTATTACATTTAATACTTAAAATCTATCAGTGGTAAGTTGTGACGAATGAAAACAATATTTTCAGCATTTGTTGATAGCAAAAGATTGCGCTTTTCCTCATAAACTATACCCGCTTCTGAAAACAGCCTCTCACTATATACACTACTGCCGGGAGAAGATAGATAAATCTTAGCGAATTCCGTCAGGCTTGGATACTGTTTTGCGTTTGCCGACCACCACTCGTAAAGGTCTGCCCTCCGATGTAGGCCAACAGTTTTCATATAAAGTGATACAAACAGTGATATTTTTTAGTAATAATGACTATTAATAACAATGAACAAATAATGCGTGTCGCGACACGATCTACTCGCGAATAAAACAAATGCGTCCGCGGTGTCGCTACCGCACCCACCGCAATGAGACGGGTCGTAACCTGTCACCCGCGAAATGTACACATATTTTGCCGTACATTCGGCCGTCGAATATTTGGCGCTTCGGCCGAGAGCGTAGCCGAATATCCGGTATTCGGTAAAATCACTATTCGTGGCATCACTAGTTAATATACTTTTGTTATCCAGAATGATGCATATAGTGCATAATTTGTATACAACCTAATGATGTAATTTCTACATATCAGTCTCTTTCACTTACTGACATCTTTTCTTTGTCTATCTTTGATGGGAATACGCAACGTTTCTTCCATTTCCCACAATTAATAGCGAGGTCGAAGTTTTAAACGCGAAAACGTCTACGTCGGACGTTCGGCGCCGCTTTCCCGTAAGCCTAGAAGTTTGACAATGGTGTTTGGATAGTCAGTGGAATCACGCTCGACATTCTGAACACCATCGTCAAACTTCTAGGGTTACGGGAAAGCGGCGCCGAACGTCTGACGTAGACGTTTTCGCGTTTAAAACTTCGGCCTCAACCTCGCTATCAGCTCCTTATTACCTCTTAGAAGGATTTTTACTGCAATAATGTGGTCGATAACGTGGCAATGGTCAAAATGTAGTTTTTCCATTGTAAATACAATATTCACAAACAAACTATAACTATACTAAAAACACATTAACACTACTTATATCAGCAAAATGAAAAGAACACTATCAAAAACTCAACAGCGTCCCGAGTTTGGTACGGATCAGACTGGCCCGAGTACACTATACATAAACAATGATATGGAAGATAGTAAAGACCTTCAAGACCTGGCTCTTGAATTATAATTATAAAATTAATTATTGTATTGAGGGTTAAGTACTACACTTACCACTTTAAATGCATTTCGGACTATTTTCCAATAGAAAAATAGTCCCTGATCAGTTGGTAATAACGAGAGGTCTCAGTATACTTAAAAATATTGGATAGTCCTAAAAATAAAATAGTCCTATTGGAAAATAGTCCGAAATGCATTTTGGATTTTTACGGTTTTTATAGTTACGTAGCCATCTTATTGTACACCCCCTTTTTGTTTTATTAAATAATTTTACTTTGATTCTTGAGCATTTGTGCTCATTATCATTGGTGTGATAAGCCCTTACTATTATTTGCCTTACGGTTATAGATATTTTAATTAATTTAATTATACTTAGGGCTAAAAGCAATTTCTGTAATAATAAAAATTTTAACTTTGCTATCCATTCTTTCTTTGTAGACCTATAAATTCCCAACGTCGTCCGCCCGTTGTCTTTCCTTAATCTCGAGAACGGAGTTAGACGAAAGACAAGACCAGATACGGATACCTTAGGGGCGGGAGGTCCCGATTAACTATACAAACTGCCGATGCGAAGCGAAAGTCACGTTATTTTAATTCGAAACTTCTCCCCGAAAGCAGTTAATAGATGACCGGCACGACTCTATTATTAAAGGAAAAGTGTGACGTACGGGGGCAAGCCATGCCTAATAATTTGACGTGGAGAGCATATATTTTAAATTACAAAAATTAAAAATATGATTAAAATTGCATCCAGGTATTGTGACGATGTCACAATAAATAATTGCTCGTTCTTTTTAAATTTTTCTTTCGAACGATATGTTTCTTACATTTCTGCGATTTCTTCGACATTTTGAAATTTTTTTCAACCCCGCAGTTATCGGCTTATATCTTTATAAACTCTATTTTATCGGATATTATTTCGAAATATTATTGTAGATCCTGTGGTTCTGTACAAATCGACATCCTCTCTCTCGCAGCACCGCGTGGCTATTTTCAGCGTTCACGCGCAATCGCTACCCTTCTCCGCACAACCGCACACCCCCACTTGAAATACGGACATAAATCTTCTATCTAACAAAATTTAAATCGTTAAATCGTCATTTATAGTTTACGAGATATAAGCGCGACAAATCTTCCCATTTGTTTGGTCGCTACAGTTTTCGTAGACCTCCCTACACCGAACCAGACAATTCTCTGACTTTTTCTGCTAAAAATCTTATTCCCCATTTTCCAACATTCCAGCACAACGCCGGGTTATTTCATGTAAAATGAAATTTTCTTTAAATCAAAAATATATCTCTAATTGCCCGTATTTATAGATAGTTCAAATTATTAACTTACAGGTAGAAATAGCGGGACATTGGGCATTCTTAATGTAATCATTTTTCTTATATAAATTAATAATTTTCATTATTTAACTGTTGTTGTAATCTGCCGCTATTTTAAGGAACAACTTTATTTAATTCACAAGAAATATAGACAAAAAGAATAAGGTTAAGTGCCAATTAATACGGAGGTAGAATGTTTACGAACGACTTTATATCACGTGATCTTCCCGCGAAAATTTAATTGTAGGTTCGAGTGTACAGTGAGATAAAAAAGGTCGAAAAACGTTGGAATGGAGGTTTGTGATCCGTAGGAATGCCGGACGGCCCCAGTCGGAAATGAAGGATAATAGAGAAAGCGGATTCCGCGCCCACGTTCGATCTCGAGTCTTTCCGTTCTCTTTCGGAGGAAGACGGAAAGTCGAAATATACGTAACCGTCCGCGCGAGTTCCCAGCTTTATCTTGGCGTAAGGCGGGAATCACACACGGTGTCGGCGTGGGGGAAGAAATGGTAACGGTTTATCGTACTTAACGAAGTTTAATTCAATTATCGCGAGTTTTCCATTTAAGTTTATTTTTCTGTAGGATAAATGTTATTTTAATTTTAAAGTTGTTTTAAATGTCGAAACCCGTTTTCTCCTAAAGGTGGATACGAACTGGTGGCCGTGGTCGCCCCGCCTCAAAGTACGGGAGAGTCGACTTTTTCCACAGCGCGATAGAGACGCCGTTTCTACAACCGACGGCGACCGACTTCGGTAGTTACGTTTATAAGGCGCCTATCCGGATCCCAAATAGGGGAGCCGACCGGAATGGCGCCAAGCACTCTTTTTAGCGTATTGTTTCGTATATATCGCCTTCGGCCGTTAATGGTGGAAAGAGATGGGATGGACCTAAAAACTGGGCTTTTGCTATTTACGAAAGATTTCGAAGAGACGGAGAGAACGGGTTTTGGCCGCCGTCAGGCACATTGGGCTATTGCCAGTCGAAATAGAAACAAATCGAACTTCGGAGACGACGTTTCTAAATAAAATTTCGTTTAGTTGGTCGGGTGAAGTAACCGATTTAGAAAAGGCGGAGGAAAGGAAACGGAGTATTTTCGAAACTATTTTATTCGACCTTCTCCGTAGAAATGGCATTTTTAAATTTATTCCGTTCTGTCCGCTAATCGTTCCCCAATGGATTAATTAAAGAAACGTCGGCAAAATAATTTGTGACCCGGCATTAGCGTCCGTTTTCCGACCGAGGTCCGGCGTCGGAACTTTCGTCGCTTTGGGCCAGTCCCAGAGAGTTGAGGTCGGCGGTGGCTTCGCGGACGTCGGTTTCGTCCGTCTGTCTCTTGTCCGACGGATCGCTTTCTTCCGCCGACGCGTCGCGTTCCGAAACGTTGGCGTTTCTCTGGCAGAGGGAACGGATTCCGGCCACCCCCTTCTTGGGCACGGTGGCCAAGTCTCTCTTGATCCTGCGTCTTCGCGACGGGTCGCAGCGTCTCATTTGCACCATGTGTTCGAAGTTGATGACGTAGAGAAAACCGGCGATTAGCACCTCGCACCTAGGACCGATAACCAAACGTTTTAAAAACCAGCCGGGCCGGACGAAATAGGACGGAAAGGTTCCCTACCTATTTTCGCCTCTCTTGTAGGCGGTTTCCAGTTCCACGCTGGTCCTTTCGTCGTACTGCCACCAACCGTTCCGTCCCTCGTAAAACCATTGGTGTCCGTCCTCGAAAGTCAGAACCGGCTCCGAATTATTGGTGGACAGGAGGGTGGGATTGTCCAAGAAATCCGTGGGAATTTCCTTAACGCCATAAACCTATCAATTTTTCGCGGAGGAAATCGACCGATTAAAAAGAAAGTATTTTACCTGACGGCACATGGCGCATCGCTTGCTCTGGTTGGTGACTCCCTTGACGCACAGGTAACAGAAGACGTGGTTGCAGGGCAAGCGAACGGGATGGATGCTGGTCTGGAGACAAACCGCGCATTCCGGATTTCCTTCGTTCTTATCTAAGAGTTAAATTTAACCTTTCGAATACGGAGTAAAACGAGAGAGAATAACCTGACCTCTTACTTTTATTTCCTTTATTACTTTCCCCGTTAACCTCTCGATCTTTGTTAGCCAAAGAAGCGTCCGACGACATTCTCTCAGTCCGAGATTAACCACCGGTGCCTTTTCGAACCCGACCTTTTAAACGACGGGGTCTTCATGATTTAACATCTTCGGATCCTCGCTCCGATTCTATAATGAAAATTAGAAATTACTTTTATAGCACGCTTTTAGTACGCAACATAATTAGAAGACTGTACAAGGCGCGATAAACGGATCTTCGGAAGAAATTTCTATGTTGTTTTACCTTTTATACCAACCCACAAGAATACCTGTATATGCCATAAATAATAATAATAATAAAGATAACACATTGCCACGTTAACAGGCGAAAATTCGTAGGCGCATTACTGGTCAAAAATTTTGTCGTAGTCGCGCAGGCTGGTAGGAATAAGCGTTATGCAAAACTTTCGGAAGCGTTCGACCGATACAACTCTTCGGTCCTCATTGCCCACCTTTTACTTTCCCGGTTGTTGTGTATATAACACAGGAAAGTATTGGAATCGTGTCGAATTTAACCATCGGGTTTTTTGCAAATCATCTTTTGAGACTCCCTGAACATAAAAAGAAAAAATTTAAAAACGGAAAAATAATTCCGTGTGTATGTTGACGTATATTTCGTTCAATATCTCAAGATTGGGTAAAAGATTTTGGTACAGTAGAGCATCGATTATCCGACCCCCGATTAACCGACCGTTCTAGTCGGCAAATTTCAAATGTCCGCTAATGATGTGGCGCTACAATATTTGGCTATGTCTTGGCTACTTTAATATCATTTTTGTTAAATTTTTGCGTGTTTTAGCTGGCAACACGGCACGACCATTAAAGGGCGGCCAGTATTTAAATGAGACTTAATTTTCTAATTATGAGTGGTTGTTTGTTTTGTGAGCAATAAAATAATTTAAAAATAATTTTTAACGATACGATGGCGACGATTATTATTTAAAAAAATTGTTAGGCTTAACATCGATAAAAATTCAATGGGAAGTTGGTTAATAGCGATATACTAATATACTAATTATATGGGATATACTAATATCCTAATATACTATAGTAAAAATGTATTTTTTTAGTTTTTTTCAGTTATCCGACCAACCTGAGTCCCCAATTGAGTCGGATAATCGATGTTCTACTGTATTTATAATCAGGTTGTAAAGATGAAATTTAGATAATTTGATTTTTTTCTAAAAACAATTGGAAAAAATATGTTCTAGAACACTTGATGTGGGTATATAAATAAAGTAACCAGAGGACATTTTGTCACGTATTTCATGGGAAATAGATGCATCAGCAATGTCTGACAATATGAAACTTTCAAAAGAACACATCTGTGCACTGTTGCTCTATCACTTCACAATGTAAGTGGTCACGATGTACCAAAGGATCATGATCTCATCTGCAAGATATTTGGATAAGACATGGTCAACAGACAGACCTGCTACAATTGGGTCAAGAAATTCAAGGATGGAGATTTCTTGCATCAAGACAAATGACATCCATGCAGCAATTCCAGCACTGATGATAATATTCTGCTACAACCAATACACAATAACTCACATTTGACCATCAGAAAATTAATACAACAACTAGTGTTCCCATACATTCCAAAAATTAACAATCTTTGATACCACCATGAAAACACATTAGCACTAGAGCAAAGATAACCTTACAGAAGCTGGCCAGTCTGGGCTGAAAAGTTCTGCCTCATCCATCTTACAGCTCAAACTTGGTGCCAACTGACAACCATCTATTTTGCACCCTGTAGAACTATATTACCAATATACAGTTCAGTGACAATACCTGATGCTCAAGACGTTTGAAAAAAAAAAAACAGTCATTCTATGCTCTTGGGATTGAAAATCTGTAGAAAAGGTGGTAAGATATGATTGATACTGATAGTGATTACCTATAAAATTGAACTGTAATTGTTGTTAATTGTCAATAAAGTATTTTTCAAAATGTCTAAATTTCATTCTGATTCTGTGTGTAGCGTCCTTGCAATCCAAACAATAATTTTGATAGACAATCCAACAGCAATTAGTTACAAAACGTTACAGTTTATTTAAAACACTTTTTTCAATTCAGATGCATTTCGGTTTGGCTTGTATTCCCAACCCCTCTTCAGTGCTGTTAAAATTATAAAAAACAAGGTAAGTTTCACGACATTCGTAAGTATGACGTAAAAAAAAGGAGGGGTAAACAATAACATAAAAAAACTTACATGTCATATAATGGTGCATCATAGAATTGTTTTACTATATTTTTATTACATAGGTGTATGACTATTTTCTATAATAGTCAAATATTTTCTATAGAATTTGAAGATACAGCAACCATACCTTCTACATTAAGAATTCTAAATTTCATCTTTACAACCTGATATAAATATTTGTTTTATAAATGCAATGTAGCGTAGTAACGATCACAAAACAAAGATATGACACGGTTTCAAAACATGGAAGCTGATATAAATAGTCAATTTATTCCAAGAACTTATCAACCTGAAAATGGACATTACATAAAGAACAGGTTCAAAAAAAAGAAAAAAAAACCTACATGATAATTTATTCTGAAGGAAACGTTTGAGCTAATGATTCTAAGAGAAGAGAAAGCATCACCTTTAGTGAGATTGGCCAGAAATGACAGGTTAAAGTTTCTGCCAAACTTTTCGATATATACTCTAGGACAGAAGTTTGCTTTCTAATGAAAAATTGTCAAATTGCTAAAAGGTGAAGCAACTGTATAGGAAAACAGTTAAATTTTCTGTAAATAAAAAGTAAACAAATCTTTATATAGTTGTGAGTTATTTAAAAGAGTTTATTATATTTCAAAATGTAACTATGTAATTCAAAAACAGTGCAAAACAAAAGTAATGGCTGGAACAAGTTTGATCATTGCATAAATAATGTCCACTGAAATCAAAACTTATATTTCCTGTAGAACTCATTGTAGACTGCATTTCTTAATAACTAAACACACTCAAGAGAACCTTTTAAATATGCAGCCGTATTTATTAAATTCTAACGTTTTTGGTCATATTTAATGACCTTTATCAAGAATAAACGGAAAAAACCAAAAAAATCGAACTCCGAGAAAATTTGAATTACCGATACAAGCATTTTGGAAGCTTTTTACAAAGCTTTTTAAAAAACGCTTGTATCGGTAATTCAAATTTTCTCAGAGTTCGGAGTTCAATTTTTTCGGTTTTTTCTGTTTATTCTTGATAAAGGTCATTAAATATGACCAAAACGTTAGAATTTAATAAATACGGCTGCATATTTAAAAGGTTTTCTTGAGTGTGTTTAGTTATATTTCCTGTGTTAAGAAATGAAAAAAGGGGGATAATTATTATTAATGTTGTTGCTATTATTATTATGTTGGGTTTAGTGGGTTATACTCGGTTCACACCAGTGGCTGTGTATGCCAGACCAGAGTCAAGGCAAAGCAACCAAAACAAAACTAAAATTAAATAAGTGTGTCAGTGTCAGTATTCAGGAATTTCCTAACAATACGGCATGTATTCAATATAGTGGCCTTCTGTAGTGTGATGTATGTTTTTATATTCAATTGTAATGTTCCCAGGCTTTTGTGGAGTGTGTGTGATATCACACCTGTACAGGAGAGAACAACAGGTGCAATAAGCACCCTATCCATCCTCCACAGATGCCTTATTTCCTGGCCAAGTTCTGTGTACTTGCTAATTTCTTCAGTGCATGTGTTTTGTACTGTACATTGTGAGTGTTTGGAATGGCTATGTCTATAATGTATGTGATTTTATTGTGTTTGTCAATGAGTGTGATGTCTGGTCTGTTGTGGTAAATTGTTTTATCTGTG